ACTGAATAGGCAAAGCAATCTTGATAAAGAAAAACAAAATGGGAGATATCACAATCCCAGATTTCAAAATATAATACAAAGCTATAGTAATCAAAACAGTATGGTCCTGAAACAAAAATAAGACACATTAGTCGATGGAGCAGAATAGATAGCCCAGAAATAAACCCATGATTATATGGTCAATTAACTGACAAAGGAGGCAAGGTTATGCAATGGGGGAACTACAGTCTCTTCAACAAACAGTGTTGAGAAAATGGGACAGCTACATGCAAAAAATGAGATTGGACCACTTTCTCACACCATACACAAAAACTCAAAATGGATCAAGGGCCTAAATGTGAGCCCTGAAACCATAGAAATTCTAGAAGGATCACAGGCAACAATTTCTCAGACATTACCTGCAGCAATATTTTTTTAGATAGATCAACTGAAGCAAGAGAAACAAAAGCAAAAATAAATTATTGGAACTACATCAAAATAAAAAGCTTCTGAACAATGAAGGAAACAACCAACAAAACTAAAAGCCTACTGAATGGGAGAAGGTATCTGCAAATGGCATATGGGATAAAAGGTTAGTATCCAAAATATATAAAGAGCTTATACAACTCAACACCCAAAAAACAAATAATCCAATTAAAAAATGGGCAGAAGACACAAACAGGTATTTCTCCAAAGAAGACATACAGATAGCTTACAGATGGCTAACAGAAACATGAAAAGATGCTCAGCATCACTCACCATCAGGGAAAAGCAAATCAAAACTACAATGAGATATTTCCTCACACCTGTCAGAGTGGCTAAAATCAAAAATACAAGAAACAAGAAGTGTTGGCAAGGATGTGGAGAAAAAGGAACCCTTATTCAATGTTTGCCAGAAGGCGAACTGGTGCAGCCACTGTGGAAAACAGTATGGAGCTTCTTCAAAAAGTTAAAAATAGAACTACCCTACAACCCAATAATTGCACTATTGGGTATTTACCTGAAAAATATAAAAACACTAAATGAAAGGGATACATGCACCCCTGTGTTTATACCAGCATTATTTACAATAGCCAAATTAAAGAAGCAGCCCGAGTGTCCATTATTACACGAATGGATAAAGATGTGTGGTATGTTTGCGTGCGTGTGCGCGCACACACACACACACACACACACACACTGGAATATTACTCAGCCATAAAAAGAATGAAATCTTGTCATTTGCAACAACACGGATGGAGCTAGAGAATAAAATGCTAAGTAAAATAAGTCAGAGAAAGACAAATACCATAATTACACTTGTATGTGGAATTAAGAAACAAAACAAGTAGCAAAGGGGAAAAATGAGAGACAAATTAAGAAATAGACTCTTAACTATAGAGAACAATCTGATGGTTAACAGAAGGGAGGGGGGAGGGGGATGGGTGAAATAGGTAAAGGGGATAAGAGTACACTTAATTAGGAGCAATGAATTATATATAGAATTGTTGAATCACTATATTGTACACCTTAAACTAATATAACACTGTTAACTATACTGCAATTAAAATAATAGTAGGGCTAAAAAAACAAAACAAACCCCAAAGAACCATAAACATCTTGACCACCTCACGGGGTTGTAAAGGCTCAAAGAATCCAATTTGTTTAAATACGGCGACTTGCTACATAGAGTGAAAAGTTTCAGATGATGCATAACTGAAAAGTTCTATATAACTATGAAGGAAATTACTCAAGCTCTGTTGTTTTGCCTTGAATCCTAAGGAAGCAAAGGCCCAAAGAATCCCCTCTAAGCCCAGAGACCAGGTAGAGATGACTTAAAAATGGCCCTCTTCTTACTGGGCTGAGTATTTTACCTTGTATCTGTATACCATTGATATTTAAAGTGGCAGAGAGGGAGAGAGAGTGTGGGTATAAGATCTCAGTGAATTATTAGCAAGAAACTGCAAGTGTTCAACTGACCTAGGTGAAGCATAACTATAGGATTTAGCACCTCTGTGGTAACATGAGAGAAGCCTTGAGACAACAGGGCACCAGGGGTTGTTCTAGAGAAACACAAACCAGTACAGGACCCAAGCTTTGCACTCAAGAGAGCATCCAGCTTAATCTATCTCTCCCTCTCTCTTTCAATCTCTTTCTCTCTGTCCAATCAAAAACAACTACAAATACACTGTGGGCAATATTGGCAAGAACAGTTCACAGAATGGGTGAATGAGAAAGGGTCTTTGTGACCAGACTGCCCAGTTTCTCCATTGATGGACTGAGATACTAAGGCCTGGGCAAGTCAGGTGGCATACCCTCAAAGAAATCAGCAGCCTTACTGTGAGGAGAAACCAGAGTTCCTGGCCCCCTTGCAAACAAAATTTTCTTGGTTTCACACCAACTATGAAGGAGGTTTTAGTATTTACTTCTCAATTACAATCGATTTTTTCCTTGAGGAATTAAATTTATTTTTCTGAAAGTCCTATCACCTGGAAACTCTTTTCTCCCTTTCTCCCTTCTTCCCTTCATTTCCTTTTTCCTTTCTTGCTCTATGGCTATTGTTTTCTTCAACCCTCTCTCTTTCCTTCTTTCCTTCATAGGTATGTATACCTGTAGGCATAGGAGAGAGACAAAGATAGCAGATCTAAGTCAAGGGAGTACAATTTGCAATGGCCTAAAACAGCTCAAAATTTACGATTGAGAATTTAAAACACAATTTACCAATTTCAGTCCTGAATCTAGAAAAAAGGGTGCCCCCCCAAGTAATCTGATAACATTTATGCAAAATTAAAATGTCATTATTCCCCAGAGCACCACCATCATCACCCACTCCTCAGGCTCTTTATCTTCAGGTTCAAAATAATCCCTGGCTCTAGGAATTGCATGACATCGCAATGGGTGTGGCAGCTTTTTTGGATCTCGTGGGGCCAAAGGGAGTTGATAATGTGTTTCTCTCACAATCATCCACATTATCTGTTTTAAAACAGCCTTATTTAATTTGAACTGAATTTGCAAACTTGGATGATTCCTAATCTTTCCCACTCCTTACACTTAGGTCCCATCAGTTCATTTGATTCTTGACTCTGATCCTAAGAATGGTATACATTTTCCCCAGCCATGTAAAGGAGAGGAAAGCTCAGGAGGAGAAAAAACTCAGTTAACAATGTGACAAAAACTCTCCCTGGTGAGTTCACAATAAAGAAGACACACAACATCAAACACCAATAGCGCCAAACCATTTACTGGAGGTTTTCAAATCTTTCAAAAATGTTACAAAAAGTGAGCAAACAGTGAAACTAATCACAAGTTTGACATCAAAAACTAGTATCTGGGTAAGTCCATGCAGGCATGTCGGGAAAAGGGAATATCTATGAGTATTTGCTATGATCAAAACACTGGATTAGGGTCTTTTACACATTATCTTATTTTATCCTATTCAGGAAAAATTATCCTGGACTAGGAAACTATGAACAACAACAACAAAAAGGTTGCGGGGGTGGGGGGGAAGATTGTGTCATCTCGTGTGCTAGCCCATTATCCATCAAACCCAGCCAAGGGCCATCTGACTCTCTTGGGAAAGACAACTTTGAATAATAATTCAACAGAGACCAGATTAGGGACCTGGTAAAGTTGGAGATGGACTTGTAGAAAATTGGTAAAGCATGATGATGTTTTATTTGTACTTTCTGACAGAGAAATTTACCTCCAGGGCGATAGTTCTGTTTCTCTGTAGCACACTAACCAGTTTTATATCTTATTTTGCAATCTCATTCCAAGGCTTTTCCTACTGACTAGTTAAATTCCAATTTCACATTCTCTTCAAATTGCTGCTATTCTGATGATGAGTTAAGTGGAAGTCTATTCATATGAAAATTATGTTTTCAATGATTTAAGAATTTGTGCTTTGATAATCCCCAAACAACCACATGAGGTAGGTAGTATATCCTCATTTGCAGAGGAAGAAAGTGAGTCTCAGAGGAGGCACATTTCCTGCCCAAGGTTATAGAGGTAAGAAGTAACAAAGCTGGAGTCTGAACATAAATATGCCTGAATTCTTTTACAGGAACTACAGTGGTAACTCACATATGGATTCAAAATCTGGACTGGAACATCTCCATATATGTAAAACTAACTTTACATATACGCTTCAATTATAAACACAACAGCTGAATATCGAAAGTGACTAACGCTGAATGACCTAAACCTGAGTACTTAAATAGTAATTGAAGAGACTGTTTATTAATTTGTTTGGTTTCAAATCTGAACTTTTTAAAATTGGAAGTGTTGAAAGTATTTGCCTATACACTATTTGGAATATTCTCATTAAAGTGTGAAATTCCAATGCTATGCTGGTTTCATTAATGGCACCGGATGATGCAGGGCAAGTTACTACTGAGGATGGTATAAAAGTCATAGAAGAGTGTCCAGAATACTTACTAAAGAGCCCCTCTTGGACATTTCATGAACATGTCCCTGAGGGTTTGTGAATACATTTGACCAAATTCGCAGTTTTTATCCCACTATAAAGATGCTCCAATCTACTCTGTCTTCAGACCGGTAAAAAAACCCAAACAAACAAAAAAACAAACAAACAAAAAAACAAAAGGAGGAACATCAACATGTTTTTCTATTCTGCGGGCATGAAGGTGATGTGTTTGTCCTGGCTGAACACACATGGTATGTAGATATCCAGACTTGAGAGTCACCAACAGCTGTTAATCTGAAAGCACCATAGTACACATTGTACATCTTAAAAATGTATTTTGGGAAAGGCTGATCTCACATATACATGCTTATCTGTCAACAAGCATGCTTTTCACAGCTGAGATGTATACCTTTTGATTTCACTCGTTTTATCCACTTGAAAATCCATTCAATGTATATGCAGAGTTACAAATTTTTCTCCATTAATAAGATTCTAAAGTTCAGTTCAGTTGGTATCTAGGTTGGTAAGAAAAACCTCTGTTTGTATTGTGAGGCCTTTGCCCAGCAAATCAAAAATTAGACAGTGACCATCTGGCCTGGTTTCCCAGAGAGTGCACCCCTATTTGGTGGGCCCTGGCAGTTGTTTGCCAGAGATTTGAACTGAGGCAATCTGCCCACCTCAGCCCCTGATCGCAAACTCTGGAGCCAGCTGAATTTCAGCTTCGGCTGAAGTGAAAAGTAGCTATGTGGTTTACATTCATCTTGACTCACAGTTTTACTGTTTTATCCAGGCTAAAGCTGCTCACTGTGTCTGTGGTTTTCTTACATAAATTTTCAATCCAGCTAGTGCTATTATACAGTGTCTTTTCCAGCCCTGGTGTTGGGGGTGGATTTTTAGCTCGCATATTTTTTCCAGATGTGATAAGCTCTCCATAGCCCTCTTGGTGAGCAAAAGCATATCCAGATCTTCTTGAGCTTGACCTGCGAGTCTGAGGCCTTCGGCTACGTGAGGGCTTTGCCTTCTTTTGAGCTTTTTGCCTCCGACGGATCTAGAGAGGAAGGAGACCCAGAGTGAGATGATGCATCCAAATGACAGACTCTAGGCCCTGGGCCACTTTATGAAGAGAAAGCCTTTTCATGAGAAACATCAACCATAACAAAATAATCACCTTCATTGCAAAAAGAAGTGTTTCACCACAAAACCAAGAAATTTTCCACCCCAAAGACCGTAGTGGGCACTGGTCAAGTTTTACTCCTACCGAGAGACTATTAAGTAAGCAAGAAGTATTAAGACAAATTTCACTACTGTCTCCATCCTACAGGTCCATCTTAAATGAATAGGAACATACTTTTATACAGAAGGATTTTCTAACATGCAGTATCCAAACACAGTCAGAATACTGATCTATAATCCCAGGCTCCAAACACAGGCCTTTCCCCCTTTCTCTTCAAGATTCTCAAGATCCAATAGTCATTAGTAACTGGACTAAGAGAAAATTTAGAAAATGAGAGTCAGAAACTTCCAACTCTTGTGGTAGGTTAGTATATCATGAGATTTTCAGGGTTTTGATTTTAGTTTTTTTTTTGTTATTGTTGTTTGTTTGTTTTGCAGCCTTTAGAAGAGCTCAACATCATTTGGGTAGGTTTCCAACATTTCTTTGATTTCCCTGTAAAGCTGAGGAGAAAAAGATCCAAGGTTTGGTGTAAGCTGCATTGTTCTCTGATTCAACTGATCTCTTGGAGTCTGACTTTCATGTCAGGAGAAAACCATTAAAAGCATAAAATCATGATCTGACTACATACTGGAAGAAATGAACATCATCTTCCTTCCTTCAGCTCATCCATCATTTTCTGGGTTTATATCAGAATGAGCTCATGGAGCCAAAGGGAAAGGACAGACCTAACAGGGGAATATTTGAATCATTTCAGAGAGAATCTTCTCATGCTTTGGCCCCAGAATGTGGAGGATATCCTTGCCTCAGTTCCTCTCAGCATCATTGGCCTGGTCACTCACTCCATAAGTGTTTGCCCCCTCCTCACGATGCAACTACAAAAGTGTGTCTCCCCCTTATTTCTCCTTTTCTGTTTTTTATCTGGTTCCTGACCTAACTTGACATAGTCTTGCTTATACTACTCTTCTCATAAAACACTGAAATATATACTGTTAATCCCTTAGTTTAAGAATTTCCATAATCTGTTCTATTTTCAACTTTGTATTTTCCAATCCAGTCATGTTGCTGTTCCCTTTCTTAATCTGTTCAAAAGGTAACATCTCCCCCATGTTTCTGAATCTACTACCACATTTCTACAAAAATTTAGAATTCCTTCACCTGATACATTACTTGTTTCTCTTTTACTGCATCCTTTACTTGCCCCCATTGTCAATAACTTTCCCTATAGTTTGCCTTTGCCTTAGAACAGTTTTGCACTCATATTTAGTCTACACATTTATCTTCATTGGCATTCACAAAGCTGGTCCATTCAGATGTGGGCAGTTCCATCTACTGTGATGTGATGCCATATACCTATGGGTATTTCTGGTGAGAAGTTCATTATCCCTTTCCTAGGTTTCCAATCAGGCAGAGAAGGACATGATTCCAAGAGCCAAGAACGAGCCCTTCAAATGCTCATCAGCGCTGCAACATACCTGGTCACTCAGGGCTGGGCATAAATCCACTTTCAAAAATCTGAATGCCACCACAGGCATAACAGAAGCCACTGTCGTTAAGAGAATAACAAGCCAGATGCACTTCTGGGCCAAAGAATGTCGTGCATTTCCTATTATTAAGGACAAAAATATACACTGTGGTTATAAATAGGACTGAACTATTGAATTAATAGTCTCTGTCTATTGCCATAAGGCCTTTTTTGAAATGGTGAGGTTTGGACTACTAGGGAGGACCACTAGGTGTCTTCTCCAATATATAGTATGCTCAGAGGTGATGGTAAGGCAAGAGTGGTAGGATCATCACCCTTGGGAACTGCTTCATGGCCTGATCACTTGGAGACAGCCAATCAGAGCCAAGTATTCTCTGATCCAGACTCAGTCCAGCTCACTCAAGAAGTAGAATTCTCTCATCCAGCCTCAAGATCCCTTGACTACAAAGCAGCCATTATTTTTAAAAGGCACATTTGCTCTTAAAGACTCTTGAATAAAACTGTCATATCAAAACTATACAATATATGTCTGGGATGCAGGTACAATCTCAATAGTCTTGGTGACTGGCTATGCCATAAAAGGAGAGCTTTAGCTGCTACCTTTACAATTCAGGCAGCAACCTCAGAAAACCTGCCTCAAAGGGACTTGCTGATCTCTCTAACATTTACTTGGTTATGAACAATTCAAGGTTCCAAGGAGATCAGGGATGTTCCTGGGTTTGTGAAAGGAGCATTCCTCTCACTAGGAGGCTTCAGATGCAGCCATCCAACATGCTAGTGCAATACTGTGGTGAAACTCATCACCAAGCCTGAAGCCGGTTTCCTTACTTTATACTCACACCTCATATCCTGGGGTGTTTGTTTAAAGAAAGCAATAAAGGTCAGTTAAGCAGACAGACAAATCCTACAGAACCATGTCAACCCTACTTATATGACCAAAATAAACATCTGTCCCTGTTGGTTTTCTAGGGATTTGCCACAATACCTCCAATTAGCCAGGTCCCCTCTCTTCAAAGTTAAAGTGTTAACCCCATTTGAATGTGTTTGGGGTATGAGGGCTTGGCTACTGACTGGTATGTCTGCACTTTCTGGCTTTGGAGGATAGAATTTGCCCACCAAAGAGCAGTCGATTACAGTTGCCTAGGCAGAAACAAACTTGACTCAATAAATTATATGACTCTTTGAGCTCCTTGAAGCTCAATACCCCCAGGCACAGTTGGAAAAACAAGCTTCACTTTAAAACCACACTCCTGCTTGCTGCTGGCTACTAAGGAAAAAAAAAATTTTTTTTCTTAAACCCCAATGTTGATCTAACTTTTGAGAAGTCTCATTGGAGCTCAGTAATTAATTCCTGGAATGGCATGTGTTTAGCTGGAGAGAGTGGTCCCCACACACACTACTTTCTCCAGTTGAGGCATTCCGGTCTCATTATGCGTGCTAAAATGCTCTCTTAGGACTAGAAGTCTTCTCATCAATGCGCTGAACTTTCAGATTTGGCAACCAAAGAAGAAAAAAAAAAAAAAAAGGAAGGAAGGAATAAAAAGAAAAAAAAAACTAAAAATAGTTAAATGTCTGTCTTTCGTAACATGCTTATTCTTATTCCTAACCGTCATGTTTCTACATGGTTGTAATCTTTTGGTAAACAAAGTATTAATGTTTCATGCTAAGTAAGAGTGGTGCAATTTAAAGATTTCCATAGACATGCAAAGTGAGGCAGAAGATGAAAAAGAAGGTTCTTAAGTGTATGTGCACATTTAATTGGAATTATAATTTCAGGTGCCTTTGCATCAGTGGAAATACATAGCCCTATAGTTGCTCTTCTTTTGCCTTCTACATAAATAAGTTTTCTCAGAATTGTTTTTCTGGATTCCTTAGACTGAATTCCTCAACTGGTGGATGAAAATCTCAGTCCTGCCTGATAAAGCTCAAGAAGGCTGACACTATGCATCTCTCTTTTCCACAGTTTGCTGGGATGGAACTGAGAAACATCACTGTTACCAACTTATCTTACACATATTAGAGATTTCAAAACTTCTGAGAAAGTATATTAATAGCCTCATTGTGGAATAAAGTTCAGTGGCCCTCTGGGAATCATTTTGAAATGTGGAATACAATGGTGGCTTACACCATTGTAGTATTATAGAACAGGGTGTTAAGGTATTTTTGGACTTCTTTGGCTACCCATCTGCTGCTCAAATCACTCTGCAGTGTTCCCAACTAATAATCAAGACACAGTTGCTTGAATCATCATCATCACCATCATTATGGTTAGCATTTACTAAAAAAAGTACTATGTACCAGGCCACATGGTAACATTTTACATGCAGTATCTCATGTATCCCTCACGTTTCCTATGAACATAGAAACTATTAATATCTCTGGTTTAGAATTTAAAACATCAAGGCATGAAAAGGCATCTGCCCAAGGTCATCCAGCATTCAAGTAGTGGAGCTGACAACTGAACCCTGGATGTCTAACTACAGAGCCCACTCTACGTGCCACTTATAGATGAACATTCAGCTTTTTTTTTAGATGGCTCTAAATTATACCTCATTTCTTTCTTAAATAAATGCAAGTGAGTTCTACAGGTGAATTTTGGCAGTGCAATTGGTGATCATGTGGGATAAAAGGGAGAGCCTAACACTTCTTTCTCTTCTTTGTATTATACATGACCTTTTTACAGACCCTCAGATAACCTTGAAATATGTGTTATGCTTCTTGTTTGCAAAGGGACAGTCTGTTGCATCTAGGCTGTTGGAAACCTATATGCAGCTATTGTAGTGACTCTTCTCAATCTGGCAGGGAGAGCAGAAACTAATCTCTTGGAGCTCTTCTCAAGCCTGAAAACCTTTAGATGCCTTGCTCAATCCATTCCTAGAGAAAAGATTATTGGTCATCCGTCATCCCACCCACCCAACACAGAAAACAAATTACAAAGAAAAATAAATGACAGCATGACACTAGCCCCCACAGATAGTAGGACTCACTTACCAACAAATGGAAACTGGTTTGGGAAGATGCCAAAGATGCCATTACTGTGCATTGTAAATAAAATGGAGAAATAAGTGGCAACGCTCCCCCAGATGAAGACATGATTAATGACAGTCCAGTAACTGGTATCCAAGGCTATCTGTAAATGAAGTCGAATGCAAAGGGGAGGTCTTTGAGGATTACAAGAGTATCATTTTACTGAGTGATGGTTCCCCAGGACTGCTCTGTGAAGACACAGTTGCACCTGTCTAGCTACCAGCCAACCACAGGCACTCCTACTTTCTGCATAACATTGGGAACTGACCTGACATTTCTGATAGGCAACTGACTTCAGAACTTATATCTGCAAGCCATTGTATCTGTCAAGGGTGAATCAGAATCAGGAGATAAAATGTTAAACTTCTTTTAAGTGTGAAATAAGAAAACAATGATTTCTAATTTCAAAGTTACTCTCCAAATTGCTCTTAAAGCGTTTCTGTTGGGAAAAAAAATTTTTGCAGTAGTGAGCAAGTGCAACATTTTATAATCCATACATAGATTTTCACAAGACTGCGGTGCCAGGGTGGCTCAGTTAGTTGAGTGTCCAACTCTTGATTTCGACTCAGATCCTGATCTCACGTTTGTGAGTTCCAGCCCCACATCAGCCTCTGTGCTGACAATATGGAGCCTGCTTGGGATTCTCTCTCTCTCTCCTCTCTCTCTCTCTCCCTGCCCTTCTCTCTCTTTCTCTCTTTCTGCCTAATACCCGCTTGTGCTCTCTCAAAATAAATAAACACTGAAAAATTTTTTTCACATGACTATTTTACATGGGTATAATCTGTTATATATCAATATTCTTAATCATTTTCATAGTCCTTTTTCTTAAATTATTTAAATAATAAGAAAGAAAATGTTTAATTCTCTTTTGACATAATAAAATTCAGAAGCAAGGATTAAGAGAAAAACAAATAGGTTCTGGCAACATTATTTGCATCTCAGAGGCCCCAAGTAGTCCAAGGTTTGCATTTCTAGCAGAGTCTGGTGCAAAACAACTAATTTCTCACTTTCCTGAGGGGGCCCTACTTACACAGTAAACAGATCCTTCTCTACATCTGCAAAGGAAGACACACTTCCTCCCCTCACTTGAAGGTTACTGTTTTTTATCTTGCCCCATTAAAAAGATGTTGACAGCCTTGGATATAAACTGCAGGAGTTTTAAAAGGACAGCTTTTTCTTTCCTTAGGAGGCCTAAGAACAGAGAGCTTTGCCATTCATCCTTAGCAAAGAGATGATGGTTTTCCAGTTCATTTGGCTGCCAACACATTAGGTCAAAATCCTCAACTGTACCTTCCACCCGCTGTCAATTCATCACCATCAAGAGATACTAATAGCCTGGCCTGTGTGGGTATGAGCAGAAAAATCACAACCAATTAAAGACGACTCAACTGAAAAGAAGAAAAAAAAAAAAAAAAAAA